TTTTTTTTTTTTTTTTTTTTTTTGCAGACGAAGAGATGTCAAAGGTTATTTTTTAAACACAGTTTTTTAAAATTTTTTAAGGTTTGACTATATTTTTTTGATTTATTTAAAGTTTTAAGATATTATTAAAAATTTTAAAGTTTTAAGATATTATTAAAAATTTTAAAGATATTTTTATTAATTTATTTGTAATCATAATTCTTGAAAATTGTAATTTTCTAATCATATTTCCAATTCTGTTGCCCAGTTCTTCATCGCACAATCATCAGGTTAAATTTCAAACCGAGGGAAACAGAAAAGTTCAATTCCTCCAGAATTAGACACTAATTTCTACAAACCAATCCATGAAGACGAGAACTAATCTCTTCAACCATGTCTTTCCATTGATGAAATTAATTTCATAAATAAGATTCAACAGATGATTCTCGATCACAGAGTCCGATTTCAGATTTAAACAAAAGAAAACCTAAATTTCTCATCAGTTTATATACAAGTATCCGTCGAATCAAATTCGTCAACGGTTCAATATCACAGTAAAATCAGAAGGAAAAAACAAATCAAATTCGAAGAGAAAACTCGATTTAGTTTTGCTTGCCTTCAATTTGTCTCTCCCCTGCCGATTCAAGAGAAATCTGCTCGAAGCGGACGAATCATAGCGCTGCGTTTTAACATTTGGTGCGAAATCAAATCGAAACTCCGATTAAACATTTCTCCACTCCAATTCGTCAAGAATCGGAGTTAAATTCCGATCGGAGGCTCTTGCGAACCAAACAGAGCGTTGATCGTCGCGTTCGGAGGCGGAAAACAACAATCGACGGTGGAATTAGGAGATTTAATCATGAATATCGCGATCTTGCCAACATAGAAGCATGGAGATGCAACGGCCAAGGATATAGAATCTGGTTTTCTGTTGCTTGATCATCCGCAAGCACCGCTTTCGAAAACTGATTTTCCGGCAGGTTCTGAGGCGGAGTTGCGCTGACTGAGAAGAGAGTGCGGTGGACATGAGAGGAAACACCGGTGGCCGGAGGAAGAAGAGAAGAAGGAATTGTGAAGAAGGACGGAATTGGGGAATGGAGGTCGAGGAAATGGCGTGTATTTATAGAGGACATAAGCCCCGAAGTTTACGCTGTCGCCACTCGTAATTCATTTTAAGGCCTTTTTTTCTTCCTTTACTTAAAATAGTCCCCAGATTGTGATGTCAGCTTGTGGACAAAAAAATATTCACCAATTGACATTATTGCCCTTCCATTTGATTCATTGTTTTCTCTTTATTATTATTATTTTTTTAAATAAAATAATGGTTATAGTTAATATGGTTGTAATTTGCAAAAGGTCAATAATTATAAACTCTTTAGCCACACAATTTATCATAATTTTTTTAAATATTTATTCTAATTTTTTAAAAATATTTTAAAATAGTTATTTTTTCATTAATTACTTTCAGAGCCACTTAAACTCATGTATTCCCCTAATAAACACGTTTTAAAATCACGAGACTAACGAAGTATGTAACGAGCTAAAGTGAACAATATCTACTAACAGTGAGCTTGAACTATTACAAATTTTCATTCATTAAATTTTTTTTGTCGAAGTGTAATGTTTTAACCCGTTGAATTATAATAAACAATTAAATTTTTTATTTTAATGATTGATTTGACACAATATTAAGGAGATATTATTTTAAATTCTTATAATATCACTTCTTTAATTAACGTCAATATCAAGAGTCTTATGCTAATTTCTAAGTCCTCAAACATGAAAAATGTTTTTTTTAAAAAATCCCTAATTTAATATAAAAAATAAAAAAGAAAAATATTTTCTAATGGATAGAAAGGAAAGGGGTATTTTGGTCAAAAGGAGAAACAAAAAGTGTGGTCAAAAGGAATAAAAGGAGAGGAACCATGTAGGAAGGTAACGTAGAGCGTGGGCCCCATGTTAGAAGCCTTTCGCTATCGTCCTACGTGGCACTTGACTTTATTAAACCCACGTGGAATTTCGGCCACTGTCGGCTTGTGAGTGCCGCCATAACTGCAAGAGGGAAAAATAAAAAATAATAAAAAGCTTCGTCGTCGGTAAAATATTAAGCTTATCCCCTGGGAAATGGGTCGAATCAGCATGGGGTCATAAAGGCAAGAGTCGTCAAAAACAACCGTCCCCTTACCCGTGTGCTCTATTTAAATATTGTTGTTCGTAATCAACAAAAATTATAAATTAATAATTATATTATTTAAAATTTTTGTAACAATATCAATTTACTTAAATAAAAAAAACGATATATAATATTTGGAGTATATATTATTTATGAAATATATCTTACATATTATATCTTAGTATTCTTTTTTTATGATTTAATTTATAAGGTATTAGTTGTTAACTTGTATCCTATTTAAAGCTGATGAATATCAATGAGAAAATATATATCTTCAATTCTAATTCTATTTCTATTTCTCATTCTTAACATGATATCAGAGTCGTGTCTTAAACTTAGTTGTGTCAATGGATTGGTAAATCCTAAAATGTCGAAGGAAAAGGAATCAAGTCTCCTCGAAGGCATAGTAAAAAATGACTACAACTCCAAAGGAGTCGAAGCTCAATTAAGGAGAAGCGTACTTTGTTCGAGAGGAGGTGTTGGATGATAAAAGTCTCAGATTGGCTAATTTAGAAAATGATCTTGGGTTTATAATCACATTAGATAACTTATGGAATAATCATTTATAATTAAAGAATACATATCTTCATTTGTATAAAGCATTTTGGGAAATTCAGAGCAAAACCTATGAAAGCTTATGCTGAAAGTGGATAACATCATACAATTATGAAAAGTCGTGTTAGTCCAACACTTTCAATTTAAAAATGAAAGTTTAAATTAATTAATTTAAAGAGATATTATAAATAAATAGAATCTGAATTGATACGTATGAACTGAAGTTTGTCAAGTAGAATCTGAATTGATAGAATTATTAATTTAATGTTTTATTGATACAGCCTCTCTCCACTAATTAAAGGTATTTATTTATTTATCCTATTATTTAATTAATCTATTTATTTAATTCTTTTTAAAATTCAACAAAAATGGGGAGATGACCCTTTTTTTTCTTTTTTCAATTTTTTTAAATAGCCAGGGAGATGACCCTTGGACTTAACAAAAAGTTGCTTAGTTATTATATATTTGAAATAACAATAATCTGAAACTTTGGAGTATTTAAAATGGATTATATATACTTTAACTGACCTTATTAACTAATAATTTGACTTTACAACATGTGAAAAGTCACAAAATTTATAAATAAATAGAAAAAATAAATTTTCAAAATAGGCAATTACGGTAGGTGGAAGCCAAGAATAAAAATATGTTGTAAAAAATTTAGAATAAGATACCTGAGATGAAATTTTAATCTTTTTCTTTAGGTTTACCCCCTGCATAAAATAATATAAAATCTAGGCGTTTTATAAGTAATACCTATTTTTAAAAACCTATTAATCCCTCTCCACAATGGTATGATATGTCCACTTTGAGCATTGATTATAAACCTATGATCATTTCCTAAATTAACCAATGTGGGACTTTCAACCAACACCTCTCCTTGAACAAAGTACGTCTCCTCTTAATCATTTTTTACAATACTTTTGTTCGACATTTGAGGATTCTATTGGCATGACTAAGTTTAAGGCATTTCTTTGATACCATGTTAGATGAACACGACTCTCCATGATGGTATGATATTGTCCACTTTGAACATAAGCTCTCATGGCTTTAATTTGGGCTTTCCAAAAGGTCTCATATCAAGATAGTATTATTTGATTATAAACTCATGATTATTTCTTAGATTAGGAGACTTTCATCCAACAAATTTAAAAGACAAAAGAAAAAGGAAAAAAAAAATTAAAAAGATGGTTTTTTACATTTAGATCCTAATTTTAAAAAAGGAAAAGGAAAAAGATTCTAACATGAAACAATTGGGCAACTTGGGGTGGCATTTGTGTGGTAGATTAAAGGAACTTAGAAGGCAGCCCCCACAAAATTCCAATGGGATGGTGGAAATTCCCTCCCAGCTCAAAGCTGCAAAAGCTGCAAGGGGCAGGGGGGGATGATATGACTGGCTAGTCAAAGTTACCACCCTCCACCGTCAACATCAAGGCTAATCCTTAATTTTCTAGGGCCCACATTAAGATATCATCCACCCCCTCAACAACAACAATTACCACTTTAATTAACTAAATGATTATTATAATCATGAGAGATGGGATTTTCAAGAAATCATTAATTATTTAAGACATTCTCACATCTCACCCCAAAAACACAACAATTATTTGTTTTATTAAATAAAAAAAAGAGGGGGCAATTCTAAGTAAACATTATTCTCTTTAGAATTTTTCCTTTCCAGCTTTACTTCAAGATTTTTAAAATGCGACGGCCAAAGAGAGATTTATACATTCTTATAAAGAATATTTTATTTTCTTCTCTAACCGATGTGGGATCTCACAATCCACCCTCTTCATAGTCCAACGTCCTCACTAACACTCGTTCCCTTCTCCAATTGATGTGGGACCCCGCAAAATCCACCCCTTCATAATCCAACGTCCTCACTGACAGTCGTTCCCTTCTCCAATCGATGTCGGACTCCCCAAAATCCACCCCTTCATAGTCCAACATCCTCACTGACACTCGTTCCCTTCTCCAATCAATGTGAGACCCCCAAAATCCACCTCCTTCATGGTCCAACATTCTCACTGACACTCGTTCCCTTCTCTAACCGTGTCCACCCCCTTCGAGGCTCAGCCTCCTTACTGGCACATCATCCAATGTCTAGTTCTAATACCATTTGTAACAGCTCAAACCCACCGCTAGCAAATATTGTCATCTTTAGACTTTCCCTCCAAGTTTTTAAAACACATAGGCTAGAAAGAGGTTTCCACATCCTGGTAAAGCACGTCTCGTTCTCCCTAACCGATATAAAATCTCACAGATATATTTAAATACATAATTATATATATCCTAATTAAACATAATAAGTTAACAAATTCATAATATTATGGACATTAAAGAGGAAAAGAAAAAGGAAATAAGCTGTCGTTGAGCATTCTAGAAGAAGACAGAAGTGTCCTATATTTTAAACCACAAAAATTAAAGGCTTTTGTCCTTTATACGCTTGGCGGCTAACGGATTAGGTTGGGAGTTCAATATGATTTGCCCTTTTCCTCTCAACAAACAGATTTATATTCCTTTTTTCTTTCTAAAAGAATAAAAAAAAGATTTATATTTCTCATGGTGTCGTCAATTATCAGCAGCCTACAAATCTTGAAAGGGAGTTTCCTTTATTATTATATATTAAAAATAAAAAACGTGCTGTAATATATATTTTTCTAATATTATAAAATTCAACCAAAATTAAATGTATGGGTACCTTTAGAATACCAGCGGTTGAAAAGGGTCACACAAGATTTGAAGCTCCTATCTATGATTTGCTATGGTAATATTTGTCGAGCAATTTCTCGGAGTACTCTCCGAATGTCAAAGCACAATTTGAGGGAATGATCTGCAAGAAAGTGATAAAGAATATTAAATAAAGTTGTCCACACGAACTCGAAAAGATGGTCGACTCTTTTAACGAGACAACCATTAGATAACTCGATATATTCCCTCTTCAAATTCTACCAAACTATTTATCATCCACTGATTTAAGAAACAAGTATTTTAGGTTTCTTAAATATATATTAAATTAAAAATGTGCAATGATTGATGAAGTCTAAAGCCAGCCCCACAATGTCACATAGATGACTTATCTTGAGCTACCTTATACAAATATGATTGATTAAGTAGAGCTTTCAACCTTCTTTTGACCCGAAAACAACTTCATAATTGTGATTAGGTTCGAACAAAATACCTCTTTATGAATATGATCCTCGTCTGGAAAATTGAGCTTTTGATCCCTGAAAAACAAAGAAAATGAATCGAAAAAATTGGATATATATGAGTTGCACATCTCAACTATTCTCACGAAACAACTGTTTGACCTCACTATATTTAGTTACTACGATAATTCATAGAACTCGTTCTTTCTAAATTTTTTATTAGGTACATGGCCCTTATAATTACGACTCATAAAAATTTAACCCTCCTCAGATTTTAACAATTACTAGAGAAAATTAGGAAAGTTAAAGATTTTAACATGAGATTAACTTCATTCTCGACTCGAGTAAGAACATACCAATCGGGTTGCATGAAAAGTGCAAATGTGGAGCGTTCAAGATTAAAAGCTTCCTTCCCTTTAGGTGCCTAACGAAAATCAGAACAACAAATCATCAAAATTTATTCATATTATTAGTAAATAGCTTGTCAAAAATTAAAAAAAGAAAGAACCAAAACCATTAAACACAATATGCCCCACACAAATCATTGTATAACAAACAAATAAGAAAGAACCAAAACCATTAAATACAAGAACCGTGTTCTACGCTAAGTATTTGGAAAACGAATCAATATATAAACAAATAAACAAGTATCTTATGATGTAAAAGCTCATCCATCCATAGGCTAAAAGAATAAATGGCCAAGAGGAAAATACCCGAACACAATGTGGTGTTGCACACAAATAGCCACTGGACAAAATCTCTGTAGTTTCGCCAATCTGATATGCGATTTCATTTTCTCCATAATAAACCTATGAATAATAATGAGGAAACATTATAAAATGATTAAAATAAGAGAAAAGTTCAGATGGTTTCTTAGTTATTAAAAAAAAAAAAAAAAAAATCATGCCTATGCTGTTAAGTAAATCCGTTTATACTCTTCCCTACAGTAGCTAGATATACTTAAAAATAATAATAACAGTTTGCATCAGGTCGGGTCGGGTCAGTTTTCTCCTCAGCCAAAGAGGACCTGGTTGGGTCGGGTTTTCTGCAAAAATGAACATTTTAGGCTCCTATGTATTTGAACTAGCCTCTTTAGTGCTTAATGTCACAATCGCACTTGACTGTGACCGGTGAATATGTGAATGAAAACGGCAGAGAACAATAGCCTACTTTAACAATTTCATCAGCTCTTGTCCTAACATAAAGGCCAGCAGCACTATCAGGGCAAGGTATCTCCCCACCATCTCTTGTAAACATTGCACAGGTTAGACCTGCAAATTAAACTGAAGAAATTTAGACATAAACAAAAATGACAACAATCATAAAGTTCGAACCATCATCGCATCTTTTTTCTATCCTGATGTGTCGTTTTACAACTTATTGAGAATTTCTTCCTTGATGTTTTTGTTATTTTTTCTGGTACATAAAATGTACCTCAGTCTAAGCTCATTGCTAGCAGATATTGTCCACTTTGGCGTGTTACGTATCGTCGTCAGCCTCATGGTTTTAAAACACGTCTTTTAGGGAGAGGTTTTCACACCCTTATAAGGAATGTTTCGTTCCTAGTTAGAGTGGGATCTCACAGTATAATTAGAAGGTTTTCAAAGGGTGGGATGGGTGGGTGGATGATAAACATAAGATAAGAACAAAAACCAACTACCTGTTAGTGAACCATGATCTGTATGCCATCCACACCAAGAGGATAGATTATCATTATCTTCATCAGAAGTGCTGCAAGTCGTACTTTAAAAGGTAAGCAATTCCCAAGTAAAAATTAATTTTACCTCAGTTGGGCAAGATTACCACCATGACCATGTTCTCAATCCCAATATTTACATGCAGTTAATCCCAGATGTATAAAATTAGTTTTCTTTTACCAAGAAAATTTGAGATTTACATCTTCAGAGACAAGGATCTTAAAAAACAGCTTGAAATAATTAGCAATGGTAAATTGCAACATTGATAGGTATATAACCTCTGGTTTGCTGGAAAATAATAAAGCAAACGCCCTTTATGACACCGGGAGTTGAGAAGTATCTTTTCAAGGGTTTCATCCTCATGCAGTTTCATCATTTTAGCAGCTGTCCATAAACAAATCAGAAACTGACAGCACCATAACTAAATACAAAAGGAGTAGCATATTATAAGCATAATGGAGCATATATTTTCTATAAAAAAAAATGAACGAAAGTTCCATCAGGATTTTCCATCTGGTTAATCAAGAAGCCTCTTCACTTTTAAGGAACCAATTGTTCATCATAGAACAATAATAACGGTTAACTGGACCATGCAAAATTATGCTTTAGAAAACAACACCACCAGCATTCAATTGAATAGTTTCTTCATTCAAGCTAAGTTTTCGTGAGATCCTACGTTGGTGGGGGAGGAGAACAAAACATTCTTTATAAGGGTGTGGAAACCTCTCCCTAGCAAATGCATTCTAAAACCTTGAGGGGAAGCCCAAAAGGAAAACTCAAAGAAGATAATATCTGCTAGCGGTGGACTTGGGCTGTTACAGTTTTCAAGAGGAGAAAACTTACCATATTGGTCGCAATGATATGCCAACATCAAACCAACATCAAGAATCAGCTTTCCAAGAGCTTTGAAGGCTGCAAACCAATTATCAAATCTCATTAATAAAAAAGAATCCAAAGTATCTCAACATAACGTATACAAGTAATCAAGATGATGAAAATTTAGAACAATCAGAAGTTTCTACCTGTGGATTAAAACAGAAAAGAAAAGAAAACAAGAGAGAGAAACATACGTATAGAAACAAGTGGATAAAGCAGCAATTTCCAGAAATAAAACAACATGAATAAAATACCTCAAAGGTTTTAGTAAAGTTGCAAACATAAGAGACAGTTTCTGACGAATTGAAAGTTAAAAAAGAAGTATTCACAATGCATGAAATCAACAGCATATTCTGAAAATCCTCTTCTACGATTATTTGTAATCTATAAGTGGCATGGAGGCAGAGTCAAGCAACAAATTAAATGGATTCACGTTGGAGAACAATAAGTCTCAATTATGTAGCAAATAAAATCACATAATTCATCTAGTGTATACCTAATTCAAGTTCTGGGAGTTCTTTAGTAGGCCAAATATTTGAACCACAGTATGATGGATACCTGAAAAAGTAGATGGTGAATGATAACATACCAATAAATATGATTCATTTTTACTTAGAAAAAATTGAAAAGAACATAAATGAAGGAACATAGACTAAGAGTCAAGGCAAGAAAAGTGACATGCAGGAATTAGCAGCTGAACTAGTGAAGCTACTACTACCTTTGAATTAAAGATGCATCCGTTGTTGGGCTATCCAATATTGGATTGGCATAGAATGAGCCTTTCAGCAAATCTGCACAGTCGAAATACATATTAGAGATAGATTTTACCCAGCCTCAGCTAAAATCCAAATGGAAAGGTACGCTGAAACAGAACTGAAGGTTCATATTTTCTAGCATAAACCACAAATGCTTTTAATCTACACAAAAACTACCAATAATCACATAATGCAATCTTGGCAATGTTCTTCTTTATTACCAACAGCTTCAGTGCAGATTTAAGGTCTCCCATGACTAAACAGCATAAAAATGAACCATAATTACTCTAGTTGCTTATTTAAACAGCGTAACATATAAAAATCGTATACCAGGCTTCCCGGATTCAAGTTTCTCTTTCCCATGGCTCCATCCAAAATTATACCTAGATGAACATGAAGAGAAACAGGTCACTGCAAATTAAACCCAACCTTGAGGCTATGTCTCAACAAATTGTCTTAAAAACAAAACTAATTGCATTCATTACAAAGTAAAACAAGATAGCACCCCCGGAAAGAAGATATCACCTGCATGAGTTTTATAAATAAAGGACCCAAAAATTTCAGATTCCTGAGCACAAAAATATAACAATGCACTGCTATCTAAAATGTGACATAGGTTACAACGCATTTTATATATTTAGAGATTCGCTAAAATCACTTGACATTTAAGGACTTTATAGGATGCGTAAATTTCTTAATAATCATACCCATGCCATTAAGTGGATTAAACTTCAAAGCACATCAAAATGATTGATAATAAACAAGCAACTGATAATTTCAGAGATGGGTGGCTTCAGAAGCATCATGAGAAGTACCTACTATCCGGGTCTTCCAGCTCCTTCTTCGCATCTTCTGGTAACCTAGCTAATCTTAGAAGGCAGAAATTTCACCAACGAATGCATTAAGTATTAGGTGAATTACTCAAAATCTTAAAGCGATCAGAGATAGCTAGCAGTTCCATTGATCAAATTATACCTCGATGAAAGACGTAGAAGGTCCTGCCGCAAGGAGGGAAATCCAGGGACCTGCGATTTGAGACCCATCCCAAGATAAAACTCCGAAAATATTCGTAGAAACCGTGTATGATCAATTACATCTCGAAATCACGTATTTCTAATGACTAAAAAGTAGCAGAATATTTAGGATAAATAAAACGAAAGGTCAAAGAAAGTTGAAATAGGATTAATGGATAGTTTACGCCATCAGTATCAGATTGAAGAACAAGAAGGTCAACGACAAGAAAATACAGAAATCGACAATCTATGAGTGCGTACGTGTAACATACATCAGAAACCGATAGAATTCCCAGCCCCTTCGGTCCGAATCCTTCTTCAATCTTCGCCGACAAGTCAACAGTCCGATCCTGTGTTCATCAAATTCCACCAACACGTAAAAAAACATTTGAAAATTACTCGTTACGAATTAGTATTTATATCATGCAGGATCGCCATGACAAAGAAACAAACAACTCAAACACAAAACTGCGACTAAAAATGGCAACGAACAGGCAAGAATAAATCAAAATGATTCGAGAAAAATGAAGTTCGGTGAATCAGTCTGAACTTTCTCGATTCCCAAACAATGGCTCAGATTGACTTACTTGTAGCTCTAAGTACGATATGGTGACGGTTCTGACGGCCGGAAAAGGGGACTGAAGTGAGGAAGACATAGTCGTAGAGAGAATCCGGCGGGAAGATTGATGAATTGAAGAACGATGGAGAATGAAAAAGAGGCGGGACGAAAGGAAATTTGGCAGGTCGTCACTTTTTATATGGAAATGGAGCCGATGACGAGGGAACCTCGTTCGTTCGTACGTGTGATCATCCAATTTAAAAATTTAAAATTTTAAAAATTTAAAATAATATGAGACAAATTGAAGGAATATTTATTAAACTTAAAAATTTAATTTTCATCGTGTTTTGTTCAGAATTTTAAAATAAAAACTATTTATGAAATCCATAAATTAGTTATGAATGGTAAAACTATTTTGAACCACAATAATTAGTTATTATAACTAATTAGTTTTAAAAGCTTTCATAAATAGTTTTTAAAATTAGTTATGATATGTTTATCTTAATTTTAAAATAGTTTTGAAAAATAAATTAATGTATATAAAAACTATTTTAAAATTGAAGGAATATTTATTAAACTTAAAAAATAAATTAATTTTTCTAAAATAAACTATTTTCACTGTTTTCAAGTGGAATCCATCGTATCTTTATCTTTCAAAACTTATTTTTTCTAAAATAAAAATAGTTATCAAACAATTTGGTTTTTAAAATCTTATATGAATTTTGAAAAAATATATATATTACAAAAATACCCCTAAACTTTTAAATGTTTTAATAATATACTTAAATTTTTTTAAAAAAATATAAAAAGTACTCTTACCATTAGTTTTGGGTGTTAATCGTTAATATTTTTTGTTTCAAAAATACCATTAAACGTAGAAAAAGTTTTATTAATATCCTCCAATTAAAAAAAAATTTAAAAATACCCATAAAATTTAAAATTAGCATTAATGCTCTTTGCTTTATAGAAACCGTTTAACAAAAAATTATTAATGTCTATCCAGAACTCATAAATTATTACTTTCAAATTTTTTAAACATTTTTGAGACGTGTAAAGATAGTTTAAATTTTTTAAAATAAGTTTAAAGGTGTTCTTAGAATTTAAAAAAAAAAATTTAAGGTAAAAATGAAAATTTTTAATATTTTTTAAAAAAGTCTCACTCAGTAACTCCACACCTAATGGTAAAGATATTTTTTTAATATTTTTAAGAACTTTTTAAAAATTTAAAGACATTTTTTTAGTTAAAATGCAAAGTTAAAAAGGATATTTTGTTAGACGTCCTAAAAAGATAGCCACATTGTTCTAACTTTCTCGAATAATTCCTTGAAAATCTGCTTGGTTTGCTTATATTCTTGTGGGATACAGCAGCAGATTGAGTGGAGTTCTTTATCAATGGGAATTGGATTCTGAAGCTGTTGAAATTAATGGCTATTTCCATAACCATAATTTGATTCCATAAAATAAAGTATAAACATTCAAAGGGCAGTCTTGGGAACTTATTCGTATTCGAGGAAGAGTTCAAATATTTACCAAAGTTTACAATTTCTCCACTAATTTTTTGTTGCTCCCTGCAGTTTTAAGCATCTTCTGATGTCATTTTTGTAATTCAGACTTCTAATTCAGCCATTGAGCTTAGAGGTTCGAAGAGGGAGTCTACTTCTTTCTCATCAACATCTTCCAAGCCTGATGGATTCCACTTGGGATTCTGCCACATCAGAATATCAAAACAATTAAGCTCTAAAATAAATTACGGGTAAAATATCTTTTTGATCTCCGTACTTCGAAGTTCAGTATTGTGATGTCCCACGTTGATTGGGGAGGAGACGCGTTTTAAAGCTTCGAGGGGAAGTCCGAAAGGGAAAGCCCAAAGAGGACAATATTTGCTAGCGATGGATCTGGGACGTTACAAATGGTATAAGAGCCAAACATCAGATGATGTGCCAGCTTTCTCGCTCTTCCCCGAAGGGAGGTAGACATGAGACGGTGTGCCAGTAAGAACGCTGGGCTCTGAAGGGGGGTGGATTTTGTGGCGGTCCCACATTGATTGGAGGAAGGAAAGAGTGCCAGTGAGGACGCTGGGCCCCGAAGGGGGTGGATTATGATGTCCCACATTGGTTGGGGAGGAGAACAAAACATCATTTATAAGGGGGTGGAAACCTTCCCCTAGCAGACGCGTTTTAAAGCCTTGAGGAGAAGCCGAAAAGAGGACAATATCTGTTAGCGGTGGATCTAGGATATTACAAATATCCTTGCTGGCACATCACCTCGTGTCCACTCCCCTTTAGGGCTAAGCCTCCTCGTTGGCACATCGTCCGATGTCTGGCTCTTATACCATTTGTAACAGACTAAGCCCACTGCTAGACGACATTGTCCTCTTTGGACTTCCCCTCGAGGTTTTAAAACATATCTACTAAGGAGAGGTTTCCACACCCTTATAAGGAATGTTTCGTTCCCCTCTTCAATCGAGGTGGGAACTCACAGTCTATGAACTTTCTATGAACTTCCAACGTCTAATAGCTCCCAACTTATTAATTTTGTATCTAATAAAAATTTTTAACTTTAAAATGCTCGTACAAGAAAACCCATGAGATGCAAAAGCGAAATATCTTTCTATGAAAAAAGAAGACTAAATTTGGGAGGCGATTAAAGAGAACCTAACCTGATCCTTGTCCACCAAAACTGCGCGAACTCCTTCAGCGAAATCACCGCGCAGGGAAGATCTTAAGGCAATACGATATTCGGTTCTCATAACACCATTGAGCTGCATACCGAGCACATAAAGAAAAAGCGTGTTACTATAAAAACTCGGTCGAGATCATCTAGCAATTTTCACACAAGAATATGAAAGGCGTGCCAAAGAGCCTGAATTTAACTAGTTAGAATTTAGAATTTCTCCTTTTCGTTCCACTTACGTGGAGCAATCCAAACTCTCGACAGAATATAAAAGAGTGAAACCCTCTTTGAACTCAGAAAGATGGGCGTAGACTCGAATGCTCATGGATATGTAAGAGAACTCAGAAAGATGGGCGTAGACTCGAATGCTCATGGATATGTAAGAGACGCAAAACAAATAAGGTATATAACGTCAAACGAGGCTAAGAAGAAGATAGCATAAGTAAAATCGGCTGACTCACTGTGGATAATTCGTGGTTACTACTTCCAAGTGCAGCAGCAACTTTGGAGAAATACTTTTGTGTCAATGCCAATGAAAAGGGCGCGCCTTTTCCGATTCCTTGAAGAGACTCTTTAGCCCACTCCGCCACTGCAATAGAAAACATGACAATCAGTGAGCGACTGAACGAGGGCAGAGCAAAGAAGAACTGAGTAGGGCAATTGCCTCTTGGTTTAACTTCGAATAAAAAATGCATACGTATAAATTTAGATTAGATATAAGTTTTGTAACCGCCCAAGCCCACTACTAGCAGATAGTGTCTTTTTTGGGCTTTTCCTTTCGGGTTTCCCCTCAAGGTTTTTAAAACGTGTATGTTAGGGAGAGGTTTGCACATCTTTCTCCTCTCCAACTGACGTGGAATCTCACAATCCACCCCTCTTCGGTGCCCAGCGTCCTCGCTGGCACTCGTTCCCTTCTCCAATCGATGTGGGACCCCCCAATCCACCTCTCTTCCGGGCCCAGCGTCCTTACTGGCACACCACCTTGTGTCCACCCCCTTTAGCACATCACCCGGTGTCTGGCTCTGATACCATTTGTAACGGCTCAAGCTTACCACTACAAATATTCTCTTTGGACTTTCCCTTTTGAGCTTCCCCTCAAGGATTTTAAAACGTGTTTGCTAAGGAGAGATTAGTAAAAATCCTATTAGATACAAACTTGTAAATTAGGTACCTGAAGAATTTGAATCAAGTTGTTGTTTCTTTAATTCTTCAACCGTCTCCATAACAGACTTGTCAGCGCCAAAAGATGAAGCTATCTGAGGTAAAAATGACTTCAAACTTGGTGGAGACTCAGGATCGCTGCTGTATTTTGCCAGGAGTGTTTTTATATCCTGATGGGGATCCTCGGAACTGCAAAAGAAAAAAACAAACAACTAACTACTTCAATCAACTGTCACCGGTCGCCGCTTCATCGGGTTAAACCGTGAAGAAGCAAAATAGCGGAGAAATTATTAGAGGAGACCATTACAATGAAGCTGTTAGTTTTAAAAAGACAACTACGTTATGGCAGCCTCATTGAATAATTTTTTGTATAAACGGGAAACTTTTGATAAAAAGATGTTCGAAAATTTACAAGTTGGAAGTCAAGAGTCCTTCTTTCAGCGAGCCCAAGTTCCCGGACGGGACGTAATGCGTTCCGAGACCAACATATAGTGCATCAGATGGCGTTGAAATTCTTTTACCAGTCAGTCCAAGGTATGCCCCTAAAAAGCGAACAGTGATTACAAAATAAAGCACACTAAAGATGATTATACATACAATTAGGTTTTAAATTAGGAAAATAACATCAGATCATATACATTAGGTGGTAAAAAAAATGGTTTAATAATAATAATAACCATAATGGCAAGAATTATGAACAAAAAATGCGACGAACCACCCTTTATAAGGGTGTGGAAACCTTCCCCTAGCAGACGTGTTTTAAAGCTTTGAAGGGAAGCCCGAAAGGGAAAGTCCAAAGAGGACAATATCTGCTAGCAGTAGATATGAGCCGTTACAAAAAAAAAAAAAAAACTGTAAAATATTTAATGGTAGACATGATTATATACCAACTGATCCTTCTCCTGGACCTTGAGCTGCAATGTATGAAAATCCAACATCTGGGAACAAACCAATTCCATTTTCTGGCATGGCAAGAAGAGTCCTCTGAATTAAAAACAAATATGAATGAACATGAACAGTTAGGGACAGGAAAGATAATCTTGGACCGATATAATAACGAAAGACACGTGTCAGCGCAACGAGTAAGATATATATACCTCTGTTACGATCCTGTAACGGCCATGACCTGATAAGCCAATCCCGAAGCCCATTGTTATGCCATCCATGAAGGATAAGTAAGGCTTCTTGTAATCAGCAATTTTGCATATTAAAGAATACTCTGCTGTAAATACCTGACAGATAAATATCATAATGATTTCAAATGCAACATAGTGTGTGACAAAATTACATTTTATTCAAACATAATAAAACTTTCTCACTTGAAAAAGCATCAAC